GCTGGCTCACCTGTAGAAGGGAGGCCAACAACAGTGATTGCAATTGCTAATGAAGTGTGCTATGTGCCAGGCTCCAAAACTGGAGAGAGGCACAGGCTTTGGGGATCCCACTTAGTGGTGAGGAAACCAAGCCTTCCAGAGATGAAGTCACAATCATTTCATGGCCTGAAGTGGCAGAGCCAGGGCTTGACCACATGGTTTCTAATGATAGATCCAGCTCTCTTGGGTGCTTGAGGGCCCAGCTGAAATTGGAGACCATGACTTTGTGGTGTCCTCACACCTGAGTGAATAGCTCCAGAAAGCTGGGCATAAAAACAGAAGTGGAATTGCTAGAGAGAGCCCAGGCTGGGGTTCTTCAAGGCAGGAATCTAGGAAGGACAGCGGGTAGATACATGGCAAGAGATGAACTGAGGACCATGTATCCTGCCTGGATAGAGAATTAAGTCAAGACAACACGGGGCTGATCTTTTTTTTTTTTTTTAATGGTAAGTTCAAGCTTCCAGAGAACAGGTGGGAGTGATGGTAATGAGGGTAAGAGGTAACAGGAACAATAGGAAGTTGTGGTGAGGGAGATATTAAGTTAGATTTCTTGGTAAGGCAGATCCTGGAGGTGACAAGGTTTATAGTGTGGGTGGCTGACGGGTGGTGGGGACCACAAAGGATATGAGGTCAAGAAACTCATGGGTGGAAAGGTGAAGTCTACTTTTTATATACCTAGTCACCAGGAGAGATGGGATTTATTAGAGAGGAAAAAAAAATTCAGTGACTTGTGAAAGCACCATAGGGCAGCCTTTATTCAAGGGGAGGCTATCGAAATTGGTGTGGGGACCACTGCAACGATATCTTGCAGTGGGCGGAGAGATTGGGCTCAACTCCGAGTACAGCCCGGGCCAGTGGGAATGTATAACCAAGGAACTGGGGGTCAATGAATGAAAAATGACTAAGCGGAAACGTCAGGGGTAAGGAAGGTTCTGGCTAAGGCACCTGTAGCGGGATTCTTGCTGAGGCAGGCCAGGGTGATCAGACACCACGTGGGCGTGGGGGACCCAGTCAGGTGTTGAGGGTGATCGGATAACAAGGGTGGAAGGTTTGCTAAAATCACTTAACAGGGTTCTTGCTAAAACTGGATTTTACAAAGGGCACCCATGGTTCAGGAGAATGTTCCGGAGCCTGACTGAAGTTTGGCCAAGCAAAGTATCTTTGTCAGATTAAACCAGACTTAGAATCCGGGAAGGAGCTGTCAAATCACGGGGTGAAGAGTGGTGGGAACACTGAGGGACAGAGGGTGGCACTGGCAGATGTCATGATTCCCAAAAGACGCAAGTATTGATAAGTGTGGCTTAGAAATGAAATCAGGGTGAAAGAAGGGTACTGATACTGAACCTCACATCTGCCTTATTTTGGGGGTACCTCTATGTGCTGTGCCTGGTGCTGGGGACATTGAAACCCAGAGGGTATAACAGTCTGGTGGGGGGCGGGGGCAGGCAAGCACATAAGCACATGTATAGAACAGAGTGAGAACGCTGTTTGGTACCAGCAGCAAATGACTGGCCTGGTCTGAGGGAGTGACTGGCGTGGTGAGATCAGGAGGTGATGCCTATGCCACCTTGAGGGATGTTTACTATGGATCGGTGGCGACAGTAGGAGGGAAAGGACACAGCTAGGAAAGAGCCTGGTGGCCTGACCTGGGGAGCGCAGGAACCACGTGTTGGGGGACGAGGGCAGGCAGGGGTCCCTCAAGCCATGCTAAGTCATGCCTGCACCTTAGCCTGAGGGTCCTATGTGGAGGGCAGTGACAGGGAACAATTTGCATTTTAGAAAATGTGCAAAAGCAGATGAACAAAAGAAGAGCACAGTGGCTTCAGTTCTGTAAAATGCATTGCTAGACCAGCACGTGTAAAAATAAATAGGTTCACAGAGAAGGATTATGTGCTCTCTCCTCGTCGGGAAGTTCCCTTTATGATGACCAGCATGTTGTTTTTACAACATGTGGTTAAACTGGAAAGGGAACAAGCATGGGTTTCCGGAATCACATTTTCCTGGCTGGAAAGAAGTCACAAGAAAACAATATAGATGGAGTACTTCATGTTCTCTGTCTCTTCTTTCAGCCCCAAGGGGAGGCTGCACGGTGGGGGAGGGGTGGAGGCTTCGTGATCTACAGAAGGAATGGCCACGCTCCAGGATGAGGGGACCAAGAGCAGAGGGCAGGCAGCAGCTGTGGCAGGAAGGTGAAGGGCTCTCAGCTGCCCCAGCCCTCACACAGAAGTGCACCTGCCTACAGAGAACGCGTGGCCTAAGAAAGGCCAAGGGGCTTCCGGGTTAAAATTGGCTGAAAAGAGAGACAGGGTTGATTGTATGTCAACTATAATTATATATACATTTAGTCTTGGGACATGGACTAGAGAGGGGGAATGGAATCAATGGAATTGTAATAGATAAGCATGATATGGGGGTGGGAGGGCAATAAATGGGGGGAGGGGGGTTGTTACTCTGTGAGGGTGAAAAGGATAACTATTGCATTGTTCTGTACACCTGAAGCTAACAATAAAAAAAAAATACCAAAAAACCCCCCAGAGACAGGGCAACTTGAGGCAAAGCAGCATCCCAGAGGCGGATCTGGATGGTGGGGACTGTTTCAAGACAATTGGCAAAGTGTGAAATGGACTATGGGATGAATGTTAAATATTAACAATTGGTGAATCTGGATAGTGTTCTTTAAACGCGAGTTCTTTGAACGCTTCTTGAAATTTTTGTGTAAATTTGAAATTACATCAAATTTAAAACTTAAAGGCAAGGCTTAGGGTTGGATTCTGTTTATGGGTGGAACTGAAACTCAGGGTGAGAATAAACTAAACTGTGGATGGGAGCGACAGAACCAATACTGGGGTTTTTTTGTTGTTGTTTTTGTTTTTGTTTTTGTTTTAGTCATTCTCTGTGGAAGGCTGCATTAAATGCATTCTGCAAATGTTATAATTACCGATTAACAATGTAATTTTGCTTTTGCTATCGTTTTAACAGAGCTTCCTTTATATATTCATTTTTACCAGAGGTTTCCAGAATGAAGATCACCTGGAAAGAATTTGTTTTTTGAGTGTCTCTGTGATGTGCAAATTTATGACAGCAAGGGGAGTCACAGTGCCTCTGGAGAGGGTGACATGATGCATGTGCCTGGCTCGCTCTGTGGCCTGATGAAAGCGACCCCTCCTGGGACTTGGTCCATGGAGCTTTAGGGAGGAGAAAACCATGTCACATGGGGGGCCAAAAGCCCTTGGGAGGGGAGGGACTGAAGATATTCAAAGTTGAGAAAATCTGGCTGAGTGGCCTGGGGTGACAGGAAAAAACAAGGGCCCCCAGAACAAAGGCAAACTCAGCAGGGGAAGGCGGTGAGCTTAACGCAGGAGCCTCAGGCTTTGGTGTGTGTGTAGGGCTGGTGGTTGTGGAATAGCTCGCAGCTCAGACTGGCAGGCCTCTGGGCCAGCTATGGCTCCGTGTCATGTCACACCTGTGCGTGTGTGAGCTGCAGGAGATACAGTCTGGGAGGCCAGTTTGTGACACCTCTACAGCAGCCTGGGGGGCACCAGAGCAGCGAAGGCGTTGCTTCACAAGCAAGCATGTGTCCTGGGGCTGAGCCAGTCTGGGCTTCGACAGTGCCCTGTGTGGGGTCTCTAGAACAGAGTGGTGGTGGCCAGCGTGGCCCCTTCAGTTCTCGCCTGGCCTCTGTTTGGAAGAAGGACTAAGGCTTTTGAAGCCCTTGGAGTTCTTACACAATTCGAGAGGGAGGCCTCGAACAGGACACCCTGTGTCTGAGTCTTAAACTATTACTTGGTGAAATAAAAGAAGAGATATTTGTATCAGGCGGTAGGTAATCTCTGAAATGGTCACCGTCTGTTCCTCTTTTTTTGCATGCAGCAAGGGACAGAGCATATGTCCCCTGCCCTGGCACTCAGGCTGGCTCTGTGACTGCTTTGACCAGCTGTGTTGGAACTCATGAGCCCAGGTGGTCTTGAGACCTGGCAGCTTCTGCTTTCTTCCTCCTGGAACATTCGTCCTGTTGGTTGCTGCCTCTTGAAAGCCGGTGGCCTGCCCTGAGAAGCCCACAGGGCCACACAGAGAGGTCATGTGGAGGAGAACTGAACCCCTGAAGAGCACCTGGCACCAACTTGAACCTTCCAGCCATCCCAGCCAATGCCACACAAACCAAAGGAACCCCTCCGACACCCACAGAATCATGACAGATAATAGTTTTATTATTTTAAGCCACCAAGTCTTAAGATTTTTTTTTTCCCAATGTAGCAAATGACAATCAACACATACCATAAGCTGGTCAGGGAATAGAAAGAAGTCTAATTGATTAGGTCATGTCATCGCTGCTTAAGCCTTGGGTGTCTGAGCCTGAACCCCTCAAGGACTCAGGACACCCCCAATCCTGTTCCCCTGTCTACAGCTTCCTCAGAGATAACCAGTGCTGGGCCCAATGGCTTCCTGTTGTAAATGGGGAAACTGAGGCCCAGGGAGGGAAAAATGACCTGCTCAGGTCACACAGCTGATGTTAACGCTGGACTGAGGACCAGGGCTCCCCAAATCCCCCCCCTTTCTTTCCTCCACTGTTGTAATTAGAAACATGAGCTCTTGTTGCCCTCCAGGTGCCCATACTCCATGTGCGGCATCTCTCTGAACCCTCCCTGAGGCCCTGCATCCTCTGTTGTCAGCACTGCGGTCAATACCCACCTCCCAGATGAGGAAACCAAGGCTAAGAGAAGGTCAAGCGTTGCCCAGGGTCACATAGCTAAGAAAAGCGGGGCTGGAGTCTGAACTTGGGGTTGATGAAAGGGGCTCCGGTGTCAAGTGCACCCTCCACTGCCTTTTCCTGTGTCACAAGATGGGTTCAGAATTCTGGCTGTAGTTTCACTTTCACGGTGCACCTTTGGGAAAGGGAGGCTTCTCCACAGACTCACATAATTTACAAATTATGTGAGCTTGGGTCCCTTCACCCATGACGGTACAACACTCCTCCCCCTGCCTTTCCTGCCTGGCCCTGTCGTGAGATGGACCGGGAGCGCAGGCTGTGACACAACCTGTATGCTTATTAGTGAACGTGACCACTCATTAACAGATGAGGTGCCTCCCAGATGCTACCCCAGAACTCATGTTTACTTGCATTGGTTTTAAAGCATGATGTGAGGAAAGGGCTCCATCTGTTTTTCCCTCCTTCTGCTTTTTAAATTGGAAACACAGCACATTTCGAAGAACGTGTTTCCTGTGCCGTGCTGAAAATCCTAGTGGAGAGTATGCTTTGAAAATGCGTGTGTTTGCCCAGTACTCTGACTTCGAGCCAGAGTTAGCCGTGTCCCCGAGAGGAGGGAGGCGAAGATGGTTCTGCCATCCTGATTGACAGGCTCCTGTCTACCGGGCCGCTCCCAGACAACCTCATGCAGCCTAGAAGAGGAGGGGTCCCCACACCATGGCTTCCAGGCTTGGTGGGCCTCGCAGCCACCCAGGAACATAGGTGAGTTTCCCCATTCTGTGCCACATGCATTTCAAGCCTTCTCATGCTGGAATTCTCTGACCACCCGCCTGCCCCTGCTATCAGCAGGTGACTTCCTCACTGGTTTCACCAAGAACACGGAAGTCACCAGGATAAGACACTCTTAACTTCTTGCTAGAAATCCTCCCAAATTACCTGCACTTTCTCCCTCCTAGCCTGCTTCTCAGCGCCCATCCCCGATCCCTTCTGCAAAGACGGGGCTCCATCAGCTTTGACCCCCATCTTCCATCTCTCCCTCTCTGTAGCTCAAGCCTTCCCCATTTGATACAATCTTTCCCGGGTCCCCTAAAGCTCACCCTCCCAGTCACTTGTCAAACCTGCTGGGGGGCTCTAATGGCCTCCCTCATCTGTCCGAGCTGCTCAGCTCACAGGGCACCTCGGCCCCCATGTGTTTCCTGAAATGCTCTATGTTCTGACCTTCTAGAAAACAACCCTCTCTTACTTTTCCTCTTCTCTGTCTACTGCTTTCACAGTCTTTCCTTTGCCTGTTTCTAAAAGGTTGCTTTTGCTTTTGTGTCTGGCCCTTTTGTCTTTGTCCTTGTCACACTTTCTTGGGACCAGGCTGGGTGGGAGTAATAGAGAGCAGTGGGGAGTGGAGCCACCTGGGAGACGTGTCCCATGGGAAGGTGGCAGCAGACTCAGGACTAGCAGGTGGCAGCCAGCAGCAGGGTCAGCCAGAGAGCAAATGTTGTAGGCTTTGTGGTCATGTCAACCCCAAGTTCAAGACTCATTTGTTAATCGGGTAAGGTCCAAATCTACAGTGCGGCTTACAAGGCTGCTGGCGGTCTGGCCCCCCCACTGGACTTGTCAGCCTGCTTCCTTTCCTCTCTCAGCCCACCCACTCGATGCTCCTGCCTTTGTGGGTGACTTCCAGCTCCTAAAATGAGCCAAGGTTCCTCTCACTTCCAGGCCATGTAATTCACCCATATGAAGTGTACAATTCAGTGGTTTCACAGAGTTATATAGTCACAGTATATTCACAGTTGTGCCACCACCACTACGATCAATGTTAGAATAGTCTCATCACCCCAAAGAGAAACGCTGAGTCTATTAGTAACCACTCCCCATTCCCCACCAACAACCCTTCACCCCCCACCCCAGCCTGGGCAAAGTACTAACCAACTTTCTGTTTCTATGGGTTGGCTTATTCTGGACATTTACTATAAATGGAGTTATACTCATATAATAAGTGGTCTTTTGTGACTCACTTCTTTCACTTTAAGGTTCCTGCATGTATCAGTACTTCATTTTTTATTGCCAAATAATATTCCATTGTATGGATATACCACATTTTATTTATCCATTCATCAGTGATGGTTATTTGGGTTGGGTTGCTTCCGCATTTTAGCTATTATAAATAAAGCAGCTATAAACATTCATGTGGACATACGTTTTCATTTATCTTGTTTCATTTATCTTGGGTATATACCCAGGAGTAGAATTGTTAGGCCATGTGGGAACTTTTGAGAAATTACCACAGTGTTTTCCAAAGTGGCTGCACCAATTTACATTCCCAACAGCAGGGTATGAGGGTTCCATTTTTTCCATACGCTTTCCAGCACTCGTGATGGCCTGTCTTTTTAATTATAGCCATCCGAGGGGTGTGAAGTCATAGCTCATTGTGGTCTTGATTCATATTTCCCTTGTCGTTTATATATCCTTTTTGAAGAAGTATCTATTCCAGCCCTTCATTCGTTTTTCAATTGGCTTATTTTTATTATGAGTTGTGAGAGTTCTTTCTGTATTCTAGACACAATACTCTTATGTGACTTGCAAATATGTTCTCCCTTTCTCTGGGTTTTCTTTTTTACTGTCTTAATGGTATCCTTTGAAGCAGACACATTATTAATTTTGATAAAGTCAAATTTATCTATTTTGGTTTTTTTTTTTTGCATGTTGGACTTTTGGGGTCATCTTTTAGAAGGCTTTGTTGTGCTGAGATTGAGACACGCGTTACATGTTCAAGGTTGAGCAAGGACATTGGTGTGTGGCTGGGGCAGTGTGTGAAGGGAGAATGGTAAGCCATCAGCTCACGGAGGGAGAGTTAGGGCCTTGCTGTCCACCCTCATGCGATGGGGCACCACCGAAGGGGAGCGACTTGGTCTGACTTCCATTTGTTTTCTGGATCTTCTGGCTGCTCTTACGTCGAGGACAGGCTGCAGGGAGGGAAGCAGCAGCACAGGAAGACCAGGTGGCGGCTTTGGGCTGTGTTTCTGAAGAGAGGTAGGGCATCAGATCAGGGCTGGAACTATGGAGGTGGCGACAAGTGGTTGATTTTCATTTGAAACTAAAACTTAAAGAGGGTATGTCCACGCCTGAAGCTTCCACATACAGACCCTTGCCCGGGACACTAAAGTGCCTCAGAACCTGGCACCTAGTTCAACAAGACACATTTTAAACAACAAAGCAAGATGTAGACAAGCTGTATCAGGAGTCAGTCCCAGGTCAGCCACTTTGTATGACCATAGGCAAGTCACAGCCTTTCTGGTTGTAATTTCAATCCCTTCTTAAAATCAAAGATGGCAACAATATCTGTCCTGTTGACGCAGGTTACTGTGAGGGTCAGATAGGATTATGGCTTTCAGAGGCCTCTTCCATTCAATAAGCACCTTGCAAGGTGGGTTCCATCAGGATCTACCTGTAGGGAGGATGGAGAACATCTGGACCACTGGACACGCCCCTAGGGCCTCCTCCTGGGATGGCTGCTGTGTCTGCTCCTTGCCATGGGTTTAGTACATGTCAGGTACCAAGCACTTTGCCAGACACTGGGATGGGCACAGATGGGGAGGACATGTGGTCCTTGTAAGCACAGAGCTTAGTGGAGGAAACAAGCTGCAAGCGCACACGTGCATATGCGCACACACACATGAACTTACGTGTACTCACACACACGTGCATACAAAGATTCGCACACACCAACACACACTCACTCACCATAAAATCATGCATACATACACATATACCAATACATATATTCACACACAAATACACACAAATATTCATACACTCACACAGCCTACATTTGCACAATCAAAAAAAATGACACAAGTACACACAACTATGAACATACATACACTCACATCCATATATATATACTCACACCTTATAACCAGGTCAATAAGAACCAATCGTATGACATTTGTTGGAAAGTTGATTGCAAAGATGTAATTATTTCTAGGCTTGGAAAACAAATGGATACTACACCCCCGTCCTCCCCCAACACTGGGAAGAATCGAAGGAATACTATGGAGAAATTTTCCCTGGATTAAATTAACATGCAGTTTGGGAACACATACAGCTATTACCACACATATAATGCAACAGCCCCTTGATACTAAATAGCTGGTTAACTCCTCTGGATGTGGGTAGTTAGAAATAAGGTCTCAATTCTTTCCCCAGACATTCCTCTTTTCTCAACACCTGTTGTCTAGTTCTCAGAATTCAGGCTAGTTAGAGATTGGCTGACCCAGGACATGGGCACACTCTCTGTGAATTCATAGAAGAAAACAGGCTCCCAGTTACTAGAAGAATGCAAAGGGGGCTGGGTGACCTTCTGTTGCCCTATTGCAGGGGTATTTCCACACTGGAAATGACCTTCCGAAGAGCCTTTCAACGTCCAAAAGGGTCAAATGTGGAACTGAAAGTCATAAGTGAGTTTGAATCCTGGTCTTGCAACATCTAGCTCAATAATTATCAAGAAATTATTGAGATACATTTTCAAATATTGAAATAATAGATGCCATAAGGACATCTTGGGATCAAGAGTCTGGATGGAGAAGCAGTAAAGCGATGGACGGTGATTGGATAACCAGCTTCAGGAAGGATGGCAATTGTGACCATGGTGGCTGTATTAGTTCCCTCTTGCTGATGTATCAAATCAGCACAAATTTGGTGGCTTAGAACAACACTAATTTATTCTCTTGCAGTTGTTGAGGCCAGAAGGCTAAAATCAAGGTGTTGGCAGGTCTGGTTTCTCCTGGAGGCTCCGGTGGACAATCTGGTCTTTATCTCTTTCAATATCTCTTGGCTGACGTATTCCTTGTCTTGTGACCCCATCACTCCAATCTCTGCTTTTGTTGTCACATTGCCTTGCCTTCTTCAGTAGTCAAATCTCCCTCTACCTTCTTCTTGTATACTTGTGACTACTTTTAGGGTCCACCAGGATACTCTCCCTATTTCAAGAGCCTTAATTTAATCACACATGCCAAGTCCCTTTGACTATATAAACTCACAGGTTCTAGGTACTAGGGTCTGTATATCTTTGGGGACTATTATTCAGCTACCACAGTATCTTTATCAGAGTTCACTTTCATTGATTTTATTTCTCCCCATTTCATCTCTGCTTCCCCCGCTAGTTTTATTGAGAAATTATGGGCATATCCCATTAAGTTTAAGGTGTACAGCTGGTGACTTGATGAGTATGTATTGTGAAATGATGACCACAGTAAGGTTAGTTGACACATGCATTACCTCACATAATGACCATTATTTGTGTGTGGTGATAACACTTAAGATTTACTCTCTTAACAACTTTCATGTATATAATACAGCACTGTTATCATAATCATAGTTACCATGGTGTACATTTGATCCCCAGAATTTACTCATCTTGTAGCTAGAGATTTATACCTCCTATCTCTATCTCTATCTCTATCTCTATCTCTACCTCTATCTATCTCTACCTCTATCTCTACCTCTATCTCTATCTATATGTACTTATATCTATATCCATCACATTTTCTTTATCCATCCATACATCAAAAGACACTTAGGGGTTTCCATGTCTTGGCTATTATGAATACTGCAATAAACATGCAGGTGCAAATATCTTTTAAGATAGTGATTTCATTTTCTTTGGATGTATACCCAGAAGTGGGATTGCTCAAACATATGATAGTTCTATTTTTAATGTTTTGAGAAAACTCCATACTGTTTTCCACAGTAGCTGCACCAATTTACAA